AAAGTGCATGAATTCTTCTTTAGGAATGAAATACCTACTATAGATAAAGTACTGCAGGAGGTAAATGGAGATACAACGTTGCCAAATTTCAAACGATCAACTTTCCATGCGTTACTGAAGCATTTAAATTTCAAATGGAAAAAACGGGGTCGTAATAGCTTACTATTGGATAGAAAAGAAATTGTACTATGGAGGAGGGATTATTTAACAAAAATTGGAAAATATAGAAATCAAAACAGGAAGATTTATTACCTTGATGAAACGTGGATAAACGCAGGACACACTACAAGTAAAGTATGGGTTGATGATTCTGTAACTTCATCCAGGAGGGCCTTTCTAGATGGACTGTCCACCGGATTAAAAAATCCAGCAGGTAAATACGAGTAATCGACAACAATCGGATGCTTTTCAAACCTTGGGAACAAGGTTCTAAACATTAATTCCAGGGGCCAGATAAAACATATTACAAGTAACAAAACTTTTATAACTTTCGATAAAATGCGTGGATGTTTTATTGTCATTTTCATTTGTTAGAACTTTTTTAAGCCATGTTTTTATGTGTTTTCGATATTTCAATAATTTTTTAATATAATCTTAAAATATGTCGAATATTATAAACTTAAAAAAAGTTACTAAGTTTTATATTGTGTACCGTTCATAATATTTCTAATCATTTTAATTCATACTTTAAGCTTTATAAAGTTATAATTTGTTAATATTAATATTTGCACGTATTTCAGGTTCCTGATCATTCATTTTTTAAAGGTTTATAACTTTAAATTAAATTGTGAAGCGCTGAGTAATCATACGACGTTCAATATTCTTTCTTTCAATATGACTAGATAATCCCAATTATAGCAATCTGATACTCATGTCTCAATGTTTTTTCGCTGAATGTGATGAAAACATTTGAAAAAGGTTCGCTTATTGAAATAAATCTACACCAGTTAGTACTTCGATTTCCAGGTAAAGGGAAAAGGCTCATTATCTGCCATATTGGCAGTGAGGATGGATTTGTTGTTGACGGTCTGTGGTGCTTTGAGTCTAAGAAAACTGGAGATTACCACGAGGAAATGAATGGCGAATCGTTTGAACAGTGGTTTTCAAAAATTTTACCGAACTTAGAGGAAAACGCAGTAATTGTGTTGGATAATGCGCCTTATCATTCTCGAAGAATGGAGAAGGTCCCAACAACGGCTTCAAGGAAAGTTGATGTTCAAAATTGGCTCCGCTCGAAAAATATCAACTTTGAAGAAGCAATGCTGAAAGTACAATTATTAAGAATTGTCAAGGATCACAAGGCGGAATATCAAAAATACGCCATTGACGAAATGGCAGCAAGTCAAAATAAAACTGTGCTCCGTTTACATCCATACCATTGCGAGCTCAATCCCATTGAGCTCATATGGGCAGAGGTTAAAAATTATATAGCTAAGCACAATACAACTTTTAAATTTTGTGACCTCAAAGGACTTTTCAAAGAAGCACTAGAATTAATAACAGCGCAAAAATGGGAAAACTGTATTAAGCACGTGAAAGACAAAGTTGAAAAGAGAATGTGGGAACTGGACAATATTTTAGAGGAACAAGTCGAGCCATTCATTATTGACGTTGGTGCTTCAGGCAGTAGCGATGATGAAAGCTCATCAAGCTCATCTTTCCAATAAAAGATATCGTTCATCAAATTCGGTAAGTTATAAGTAATTATAAAGCTACTGTATTTGTTAATTAATTATTGACATTTTTGAACCCATTTTGGCAAAACCTATTCAAGAATCTACTTTCTGACAATGTTCAACCATGCTCATTTTTTTACGTTTTGAACGTTTTAATTTGGTTACATATTTACCTAGAAATCAAAAAATATACTAATCAATATTCTAAAAGCAATTTTAAGAGATATACGATTATTTTTAATTTAGGGTAATTTAAACGCCATTTTGAGATTATATTAGACTGTATTTCACCAAACATCAGGCGGCATCCGAAGCTGGAAATCGAAGCGAAAATTTTGAAACCCTTATGTATATTTACATCATTATATATTTCTTACCCCACCCCCACATGATCCTGTATCCATCACCAATCGTATACACATCGAATTGTGCTAATTTACTACAAAGTTACGCAAAGCAGCATCTACTATCTAAAATATGTACTGCGTGACTCTTAATACGTCCCTGCCGAATGTTACAGCGTTCGATGATCACGTGGTCTTGTTTATGTCCGGTCTATCTCTTATCTGAATATACTATAGAGTATTAGGAGTGGAGATAACGCGTGGTGAGCTATTCCACTCAGTCAGTGCGCCAGTATAGCCATGGTTCCACCGTACATTGTGCAAAAGGTTATAAAGGGTCAGTATGGGTATGAAAAAAAAAGTTTAAGAATGGACGAGATCGTGTAAAAAAAAACGTGAGTCATAATCGACGTCCAAGATCAAGTGTCTATGGTGACAACATTGGTGCTGTTCGTGACCTTATTGAAAGTGAAAGGCGGCTCACTATTCATGAAGTCGCTGAGAAGTGGGCATTCGCTTTGAAAGTGCTCAAACAATCATCAAAATGGTTTCAACGAAATCTGTGCTCAATGGGTGCCGAAGATCAAAAAAAAACATCCGACTGCAAATCAGTAAGACTTCTGAATCGATTTCGGCGGGAAGGAGAGACTTTTTTAAATCATATCGTGATGTGTGATGAAGTATGGGTGAATCATTACACTCTCGAGTCCAAGATGGCGAGTAAAGAATGACGAGGGAAAGACCTCGTGGAAGCCAAATCCCATCTTTCAGTCACTAAGGTCCTAGAGACCGTCTTTTGCGACTGATTTTCTATACGACGGACGTATGCAACCAGTACTGCCAGCTGTTGTAGGCAGTGAAAGCCGCATATAGTCGCAAACGACGCGATGTCCCCATTAGAAATGTCATCATCCTTGGCGACAATGCCAGGCTACATACAGCCGCTGGAACAAAGCAAAAACTAGAAGATATGCCTCCTCCATACAGCCCAGATTTGCCACCATGTGACTATCATTTGTTTGCGCCCATTAAGGCACTTGAAAGATTGCGATTTGACAACGATCGAGATGTGGAGCACTTCGTGCACAATTGGTTGGTCACTCAACCTCCAAACATCTACAAGCAACGAATTTGTAAGCTTCCAAATCGCTAGGAAAAATGTGCAGAGTGTGGAGGAGATTACATAGAAAAATAATCGACAGCATTTTGTATTGTTTTATGAATAAATAAATATTAAAAAAGAGTTCCAGTTTATATTTGATCCACCCTCGTATTTTATTTACTTTATTCATTTTATTCTATTTATTCTACCTTTTTATCCATTTTATCCGTTTTATCTGTTATCCATTTTATTTATTTATTTTATTGATTTTATTTATTTCATTTATTTCATTTATTTCGTTTATTTCGTTCATTTCGTTCATTCCGTTCATTTCGGTCATTTCGTTCATTTCGTTCATTTCGTTCATTTCGTTCATTTTATCCATTTCATTCATTTCAGTCATTTTATCCATTTAACTCATTTTATTCATTTTATTCATTTTATTCATTTTATTCATTTTATTCATTTTATTCATTTTATTCATTTATTCATTTTATTCATTTTATTCATTTTAGTCATTTTATTCATTTTATTCATTTTATTCATTTTATTCATTTTATTATTTTATCATTTTATTTAGTTTATTTAGTTTATTTATTTATTTTATTTATGGTATTTATTTTATTTGTTTTATTTATTTTATCATTACATTCATTTTATTCATTTTATTCATTTAACTCATTTTATTCATTTTATTCGTTTTATTCATTTTATTTATTTTATTCGTTTGATTCATTTTATTCATTTAATTTAGTTATTTTATTTATGTATTTATTTTATTTATTTGATTTATTTTATTTATTTTATTCCTTTTTTCGTTTTATTCGTTTTATTCGGTTTATTCGTTTTATTCGTTTTATTCGTTTTTATTTATTTTATTTATTTTATTTATTTCATTTATTTTATTTATTTATTTAGTTTATTTATTTCATTTATTTTGTTCATTTCGTTCATTCCGTTCATTTATTAATTTTATCCCATTCAGTCATTTCATTCATTTCATTCATTTCATTATTCATTTCATTCATGCAATTTCATTCATTCATTGCAGTCTTCATTCATTCATTCATTTCATTCATTCATTTCATTCATTTCATTCATCATTCATTTCATTCTTTAATCATTTCATCATTTCATTCATTTTATTCATTTATTCATTTTATCATTTTACTTCATTTTATCATTTTATTGGTTTGATTCGTTTGATTCATTTTATTCATTTTATTTATTTAGTTTATTATTTTATTTATTTTATTCATTTTATTATGTATTTATTTTATTTATTTTATTTATTTTATTTATTTATTTATTTATTTATTGTATTTATTTTATTTATTTTATTTATTTTATTTATTTTATTTATTTTATTTATTTTATTTATTTTATTTATTTTATTTATTTTATTTATTTTTATTTATTTTATTTATTTTATTTATTTTATTTATTTTATTTATTTTATTATTTTATTTATTTTATTTATTTTATTTATTTTATTTATTTTATTTATTTTATTTATTTTATTTATTTTATCTATTTTATTTTTTATTTATTTCATTTCTGTATTGATTTTATTTATTTTATTTATTTCATTTATTTTATTCATCTGAACAGATTACAGGCAAGAAAAAACAGATTTACATAAAAAAACTAGTCGGGCCGCGATAGGAAACAGACATACGCATGGGGCCAATGTCAAATTAAGGTGATTCAAGGTCAAAGTTGCCGGACAGAACAAACGCTTGATTTGAATTTGACGGCCCAAAAAGAACTATAATATAAATTTTTTTCGATTCCAAAACCCAGAGGTATCCCTACGAGATTCCGTTAAAAAGATTTTGCAGGTCGTCTAAACAATTATAACATAAAGCTGCATCAAAAATGAAACTAGGAAACACCATATCAGAAGAATTCCCAGTGAGAAAACGTCTACGACAAAGTTGCTGTATTCTATTTAAAATCTATTTAAACGAAGTACTGAAAAACTGGCGAATAGCGTCTTCACGGATGTGTGAGTTCAGCCTGATAGAACACAACTTTGTATACCCATCACTTTGCGGATGATCGGGCGGTGGTGGCACCAGACAGGGACAATTTGGAGTTTATGAGAATATGGAGATTGCAAACGTATAAAGAATCGGGTCTATCCTTATGCATCGAAAAAGAGCTGGATGGTCGACAGTCAACGAACAGACAATAATCAAAGGAGAAAAATGGCATCAAGTCGGTTTATTCTGCACTTAGCACGCAATGACGTCGTCAGTTCATAATGAATTAATTTAATGATAATTAAACGGATCAAATTAGTCAAACAAGTCCCTAGACATCATTTCCCTGACCTACCGGAAATACTGCCCATCTGGCAACTTTATGTCAGGGCACATGCCAAGATAGGCTCACCCGCCGGTGAATACAGAGAGCAGAAGCAGGGACGCGTTTCGAATGCATTTTTCAATCATTAAACTTCATATTAGGCACTATAACTTTTGTACTAAACTTTTCTCTCTGGAGGGTGGTATAAAAAAGTGAAACATCCAAAGAACAATATCTCATCTTTAAAATTTTTCGCAATTACAGTACCTCCTAGAGAACAGGTGTGAGAAGTAAAAAAGTAATTGGATGTCTAACCACGATTTTCTAGATCACCCAGTATGGATAAAGAAAAATAAAATGTGAATGATAAAGTCGGAGATGTCAACGGTTTCTGCTTAACTTAAGGCAAATATTTCGCTTAGATATTAAAGGAATATACGGTGAAGATTGCTGCAAGGAGTATTATGGACAGTCTGGCTGTGACCTTGGAAGCAGGAAAATCCTGAAATATGACACAATAGAAAAGGTCCCGCCACTGTCTATTCTCGCATATCTCCGTCCCGGTCCCGATCCCGGCTGGAAGTGAATTGGCATGACGGGCCAGCTAATGGAAACATCGATCATAATTAATATCGAAGGGTCTCCCCGTGGCTCCCGCCGATCTACGGGGATGGCGGATGGCGGAAGGCACGGGCCAAAAGTCGCCCCAGAATTCAATTCCCGACGATGCCGTGCATTTCAATTAGTGAACGGCGGAGGCAGAATGCTGCCGCGGTGCCTCCTCCCATCTTAGTCCGGTGCTCAAGAGATTCTGACCGTGAAAAAATTATAGGGAAGATAGAAGGTCTTATTACGGGTTTAAGGGTACAAGGCCGTACTTAAGTACTTAGTCTCACCGCCCGATGGCGCCACTATCGCAGGAGAAATTTATCATCGAGCGCACTAAAAATTTTAGCCGAGACCACACATGCTCAATTGAGTAAAATTTATGAATTCGGTTTAAATTACATAATGTCAAAGAAGCAAATTTTTACTGCGCGCAATAACGTTCAATGATTGCTTCAATCGTTTCTCGGTATGAGAAAAAATACCCGTTTTCAAGAGAAACCCTAAAAAATCCCTTTTTTTGGGATGAGCGTAAAATTTGAGAAATTGCTTTTTTTAAGATAATCCAAAGATCGAAAAGATGCTTATAAAAATTTCTAAGATAAAAAATTGAGATCTGACATAGCCCCAAAACTTTGCTAAAAAAACTGACCTTCCTTTGTTCACCATGTATAAATCGATAAATAAAAGAAATATAGGTTAAAGGATTTACAAAGATTTGTATTTTTTTTCCACTATCAAGGTCCTGAAATCAAGTCTCAAACGTCTGTAATAAGCATCTAATTTTAGATTCGCACTTAAAACAATTGACAGTAGAAATATTGACCTTTTTCAAATGACTTGGCGTGGGAAAAGCATCAACATTTTCTGTGGCCAATTTAAATGAACATGCTTATCAATTGAACACGTTAACAATTTTTGCCTTCTACGGGAAACTGACGACGTCCAAAGTACATGGCGTGCCAAATTTTATCCACTTGGCGGGAATTTTATAACTTGATTGGGTCGTTTAAAACTCGGGCTTGGACCGAGCAGCTTTACGCTAAATAATTGTTATGATACCGATCTGTTATTTGAGTACTGGCTAATCGCGACGTGTATTCATGCACGCCACCTATGAAGGAATGGTATAACTACCTATAATATATAACTTAAATCTCAGATTATGATCTAACGGGTGATTCATTTAGAGGTACTTTTTGGGTGTGGCTGTAATTGCTTATGGCGCATGCGTCATGACAACTAATTTGACATTTTCTGTTTCAGTATTGTTCGACATTTCATCATGGAAAGACTTAGTCCAGCACAGCGTCTACAAACAATTCAGCTGTACTACGAAAATCAACGTTCTGCGAGAAGTGTGTTTCGTGCACTTAGAGCAAGTTATGGTGTACATAATCGGCCCATCGAACGCACAATTCGATGTACGGTCGAAAAATTTTAAACCCAATTTTCATTATTGGATACTACCCGACCAAATAGACCATATCCAGCACGCAGTAAAGAAAATATAGCTGCGGTAGGTGAGAGTATACGTGAGACCGTGAAGAATCGATTCGGCGCCGTTCTCAACAGCTTGGCTTGTCGTATTCAACAACTTGGCGTATTTTACGTAAGAATCTTAATTTGAAACCATACAAAATTCAACTCGTTCGAGAATTGAAGCCGGCCGACCTTCCAAAGCGTCATCGTTTCAGTATTTGGGCTCTTCCACGGCTTGAAGAAGATCCGATGTTTTCGAGCAAAACTTTGTTTAGCAATGAGACCCATTTTTAGCTTAACGGCTACGTTAATAAACAAAACTGTCGTATTTGGGGTGAAGAACAACCCGAAGTGGTTCAAGAGCTGCCACTACATCCAGCGAAAACAACGATTTGGTGTGGTTTATTGGTCGGTGGAATCAAAGGTCCCTATTTTTTAAAAAATGAGGCCGGTCAGAACGTAACTGTGAATGGTGCTCGTTACCGCGCCATGATAACGGATTAATTGCTGCCTGAAACTGAAGCCCGTAATCTCGATGACATTTGGTTCCAACAAGACTTGCAACACAGCCCGTGCAACCATGGCTTTATTGCGAGAACATTGCGATGAACACTTAATTTCACGATTTGGACCACTGAATTGGCCACCTAGATCATATGATATCACACCTCTAGACTTTTTCATTTGGGGCTACGTTAAGTCCAAAGTGTACATTGATTAGCCCAATACGATTGAGGAATTAGAAGCCAACATTACGCAGGTCATTCGCCAAATTCCAGTCGAAATGCTCCAACGTGTCATCGAAAATTGGAACTTTAGAATGGACCATCTGAACCGCAGTCAGGGCCAGAAAAAGAATTTTGTTATTTTATTTTGTTGCTGAAAAAAGTACCTATAAATGAATCACCCATTATGAATAACCTCATCTAGCGGCAACACACAAAGCTCTTACAAGTGAACATGAAGTGACAGCTAGTTCCAAAATAAAAATTTTGGCAATATGATCGCCCCTGTCGTTTTGCAGTTACGTAATAAGGGTGTGATTTGGAAAATGTTTCGTGGTTCTACATACTTTTAACCCGAAGATTACTTTCCACTTTCCATGAATTTTAGTCTATGTGTACCGGGCTATCCTGCCTGTTGGTTGCCCCGACCTGCTGACTTCGGACTCGATCACCTCGTCCTTTTTCCGCACGCATCAGCGGGATATTTTAGGTAATACTCAATAAGCGCTCCGGTGCCTTTGAATACCAATGAGCAAATGGGATTTCTTCATTACGGAGTTTTTATTCAACTTCAGCCTTCAGTCAGCGCATCATGCTGCATTAGATAATCTGCAATTTTGCGATGGATTTTTTTGTTGAAAGGTCAAGGCGATAGTTCAATATGCATTCTTCATTCGAAATGTTTTTTGGTTTAGTTTAGCTGTTTTTACGTTCCACACTACTGGCGAGGAAGTACTGTAATTTCGACAATCGAAATACGTGTCCAAATCATAGAAGGTTTCATACCTTTCCAATACAGAATCATTTATTTTGTACGGGTAAGTTAAAAATTTGGCTGTACGGTTGAAGGTTAAAATGCTGCATTTAGAGTTGTTCAAATACAAATTGTTATCGATACACCTTATTTGTAAAAAAAAATATTTGTTGTTGGAGGTTTTTAGAATCCTGCCAGCTAGAAGCAGACAATTTACCAGACACTGCTTCCCAAGAATTAATCAATTTTTACAAAAACAATGTAAACATTAACGATTCTCTTAGCTTCCAACTGTTAGACAGGGCCAGTCTAATCAAAACTGTAACTAATATCTCATCAAATGCCATTGGAGAGGATGGTTTCTCTATGAGAGACCTAAAGTTATGTATCCCATTTTGTACGAATGCCTTGCTGAATATAATCAACACATGTATTTTGGGGGGATTATTTCCAGAAATATGGAACAAAGCTATTGTTAAACCCTTACCAAAAATAGCAGAACCTAAAGAATTTACAGACTTGAGGCCTATTAGCATATTACCCGCTACATCCAAAATTTTAGAAAGGCATATTTATAATGAAATTAGATTTTTTTGTGACACAAACGATATCATACCCGATAGTCAATCCGGTTTTAGGAAAAACTTTAGCACAAGTACATCATTAGTTAATATCTTGGATGATATCAGACATCATAAGGAACAAAAAAATAGTACGTGCATGGTTCTTCTCGATTTTAGTAAAGCGTTCGACACTCTGAATCATGAAATGTTACTAGCTAAGTTACATTACCAGGGGTTTTCGCAGAACTCCGTAAATCTAATAAAAACATACTTAAGCAACCGTTCAAACTGTGTTATGTTAGTAAAAGATTCTGCTATTTACAAAACCGATTTTAAACCTATAAAAAGAGGAGTGCCTCAAGGTTCAATTTTATCTCCTTTACTATTTTCAATCTACATATCTGATATGGTCAAATCGGTAAAATTCGCAAGGATAAAACAATATGCAGATGACTCACAAATATATCTCCCTGTCAATAAAACCACAATCCATATTGCACAACAACAACTAAATTCAGATCTCCAAAGAATTAACAGATTTGCAAAGCATCACAATCTTAAACTGAACCCCTCAAAATCGCAAGAAATGGTTATGAATAAAAACAGTACTGAAAGAGAACATTTTGAACAAAATTTAGTAATTTCTATTAAAAATGACAGAATCCCCATAGTTCAGGAGACAAAAAATCTAGGCAGTCATATAAAAAACAGAACAAATTTAGCTTACATGCGACTAAAAAAATATAAACAAATTAAAAAGACATTTATCAGCCAAACAAAAATATTATTTGTGTAATACCTTAATTTTATCACTTTTTTACTATGGAGATGACGTCTATGGTGATTCGCAAAGTTCAAAATAGTTGCATGAGATTTGCGTTTGGAATTCCATATCGAAACCATATCACTCCTTATCTGAATAACTACAACATATTAAACATGACGAATCGCAGAAAATATCACATGTATTCTTTGATCTATAGGGTTATAAAAACAGGTCACCCGCTCTATTTAAGAGAAAGATTTGTGCCTTTGCCTAGTCCCCAGAGAAGCAGAAATAATCTCAATTTTATCGTACCTAGGCATAGAACGTGTTCCTTCCGACGATCGTTTGCCTATGTGGCGGTTCACTTATGGAATAATTTACGAACTTCAGTTAAAAGCTCATCGTCAAAAAGATTCTCAAAACTGACAAAAACGTTGTTACAGAATCACCAGCGACCTTAGCAGCGTTTTTACAGCAGCGTTTTTCCTACTCGCTGACAGGTTGTATAGATTTGTTCTTCGCGTCCGTTGCCAGCTCCCGGGGTTTCTTTCTTCGTTTTTGCCTTTTTGTGTTTCACCGCCTCTTCATTTGCCTCTTTATTGTTTTTTTTATTTTGTTTAACGACTTTTAGGGTGTTCAGGGCTTTCTCGCATGGACTCTTTGTATTAAAGGGTCCAATGTATCGGTTTTATAATCGAGAGACTGTCCCTTTTCGTCATTGCTCTATATGTAGAATTTCTTTTGTTTATGATGTTTATTCATGACGAAATAAATATTTTGAATTTGTAAATAATGATAGTACATTATTACTTGACGGTCTTTTTTCACTAAACATACACTTACTCAGTTTTCATAAGCGAAACTATCCAACTAGTAGCTTGTATATAGCCATGTTTAATTAATAGTGTACGGTGAACAGCATAGCGGAGAGAGAAAGGACAAAGGGCCTCGCCGATAACCGTCGCGAATGGCACGCTGAAAGCCGCCTTGTCGACCGGCAAAGGGAAAGGGAAAAGGGTTATTGTCTTGCGGCCCATGATACAAATTGGAGTATTTGTCCATCCCTGATGTCCACACAATTATTGCTACGGTTTCGGAACAGCCACGGACCGTTCGCATGGACAATTACACCCTAGGTATTCGGACTCATTACCACCACTTCTGATATCTATTCAGGATGGCGCGTTGGGCTGGCTTCCCTAACTTTTAACTGGTATTCTAGTTACTAATATGCACGGGTTAACTTTATTGCTGTATGATAGGGTCAAAGGTATGAAAATGACTTCTTAAGAATTCTGTATAAAAATGTATCTAGATAGGTGCTGCAGCATTTCCGGTGAATTATATTATACAGTATGATCTTACCAATCCTCCCCCCCGATATCCAAAAGAATTTTCTTTCTAATAATAATAATATAATAAGTTTATTGCAAAAGAAACAGTATAGCAGTAGTAGATGAAAGACAATATTATACAATAAACGAATGGACCCAAAAAAAGTTTCGCAGAAACTTGTGCTTGGGCATGAGCTCATGTATAAATAACTTAAGACTAAAAAAAAACAAAACAATATATATATATATATATATATAGAGGGTGACTTTGAAGTTGAGTCATTAATTTTCAGATAATGATTGTAGAAGGAAGATAAACCAAAATATGTGTGTAAAAATAAAAAAAAATTAAAAAAAAATGTTACCTTGTTTTATAAAGTATCCTCCCGACAAGTATTTCAGTGCGGACCTGTATTTGATCGTGCGGTCTTGAAGCACCGGCATGCCGTCCCCTGTGAGGTCTTAAGTCACCTGATGCACGAGCCCTTTGTACTACATTAACAAAGGCACGAGGGGTTGGTTGCACTCGATTGGGAAACCGATCCGCCTAAATCCGTGATACCGCGTAAATAAGGATCAGGTCCACAAGTTCAGCATTTTCGTAAACATGTGCCATTTTTGATTTCGTTTGAGCCACGCAACAGACACCACTATTCACTCACGCGTTACCGACTGACACTGACTGTATACAACTGAATAAAATAATTGTAAAAACATCGTTCCAAATTCTTTCGCTTTTTTGTTTCCGATGCCATGAACCGATAAGGCGGATTATATCCGTTGTTGCCAAACACGAGCACATAATATTATTATTGAGACAGGGCGGTACTCAAACTTCCAAAGGGCTATAACTTTGTTACTTTAATTTTACCAGAAAAATGGTAAAGGAAAAAAACATTTCTTTTGATCAGATCTACTCACTGTTAAAATAAATGACTCAACTTCGAAGTCACCACAGGGTGACATACACAGGGTGACTTTGAAGTTGAGTCATTAATTTTCAGATAATGATTGTAGAAGGAAGATAAACCAAAATATGTGTAAAAATAAAAAAAAAATTAAAAAATTTACCTTGTTTTATAAAGTATCCTACCGACAAGTACTTCAGTGCGGACCTGTATTTGATCGTGAGGTCTTGGAGCACCGGCATGCCGTCCATATGTGAGGTCTTAAGTCAAATGATTCGCGAACCCGTTGTACTACATTAACAAAGGCACGAGGGGTTGGTTGCACTCGATTGGGAAACTGATCCGCATAAACATGTGCCATTTTTTATTTCGTTTGAGCCACGCAACAGACACCACTATCCACTACCGACTGACACTGACTGTATACAACTGAATGAAATAATTGTAAAAACATCGTTCCAAATTCTTTCGCTTTTTTGTTTCCGATGCGATAAACCGATAAGGCGAATTATATCCGTTGTCGCCAAACACGAGCACATAATATTATTATTGAGACAGGGCGGTACTCAAACTTCCAAAGGGCTATAACTTTGTTACTTTAATTTTACCAGAAAAATGGTAAAGGAAAAAAACATTCGTTTTGATCAGATCTACTCACTGTTAAAATAAATGACTCAACTTCGAAGAATATAAAATGCATTAGACAAGTCCTGGTAAAATTTTTAAAAAGACACAATCGGGACGGAGACGCAAAAATCGGGACGTAGACGCAATCGGGATAGAGACAATATTGAAACAAAAGACAATATTAGGTGATTAGACAAGAACAAAAATTGATAAAAATAAGTCATAAAATGCAATAATTCAGGTGAGAATTCAAATCAGTTTGATTTGTACATTTTTTTTTTTCATTTTGAAATTTCAATAATCTTGAGAGAGATTTCCGCTTTCAGTAGTAGTAGATATTTTTGATATCAATCGCTTGATGAATCTTGAGCCTATGCTGGTCCAAAATCCACAGTCTTAGATGCTTTTTCATAACCTTTGTATTTTTAATACGGGGGATTAAGTTATATATTTTTGGTCCTAGGAAAGTGAAACTCCTCTGACCTATGGTCTTTTTAGGCTTTGGTATGCTTACTGAATGATCTTTGGATCTGGTGTGATGGTCATGTGGGAGGAAATTTAATAAATGCTTATGTTTTGTAATATATGTGAGCACACTCTCAAAATAGAGTTGCCTACAATCATATATCTTGGATACCTTATATATCCTATCGGTTGGATAGGTGTTAGTTTTGTGGAACATGATTTTAAGAATCCATTTCTGAGTTATTTCTAGTTTCCTGTAGTATTTATTCAACACCGGTCCCCATGCCAAAATTCCATAAGTTAACAACGGTTGTACTAACGTTTTGTATATGGTGCATAAGTCTTTATCAGAAAGAATTTCCCTAAAAAATTTTGGTATAAGACATCTTAATCTCTTCGTTAAGCTTTCTATTTGTTTGTCCCATTTTAGGTGGCTGTCAATTATGATTCCTAGGTATTTTATATGATCTGCTGGCTTTAGGACTCCTACTTCATCTTTGGGTGGTAATTTGATGTGTATGTTATTGAATGTGGGACTGTTCCTATCATCACATGAAAAAGTCAGATATAAAGTTTTTTCATAATTGATTGTTAATATTTTATTATTCAAGAAGCTTATAATGACTCTGAAATCCTCTTCAATAAGAGTCTTTAAGATATCCCAAGATTTTTCGCTATAAAAAACAGCCGTATCATCTGCGAACCCGATAATTTTACCGTGTGTGTGTGTAGGTTAAAAGGATCATTGACATATAGGTTGAACAAGATAGGTCCTAAGACTGTACCTTGTGGGATAGCGCATGTTACATGGTGCAAGTCGCTGATGGAATTATTAATTTTCACACATTGATTCCTAATGAAATGAAAATTCTTCTATCCTGGCAGGATCGCCATGTAATAGATTTATCTATTTCGGGATTTTGCGGACCTAATAACACAACTTGATTTAAGGATGTTTAATTTTATTCTGTCTAAAAAATGTATATTGATAGGTTGCTGCAAGGTACCTCTGCCTAGCGCAGCATTTCCGGTGAATTATATGTATTACTTGCAATACTCAACAAGTTTCTAATAACAATATACAGGGTGGCGCATCGAAAACGGAACAGACGCATTTACTGGCAGCTCAGTTTTTCTTTGGAAAAACGCTCAGAACCGCCGATTTTGTTTTAGAGGGGGACACAAGTTTGGCAAAAAATCACGCTAAGACGTGCAGCCCCATGGGCGGGGGTGACACCAACCATAAACTCTTAAATGTTAAGGGGGGTCGAGTGATACCTTATTTTAAAGGTCTTTCAATTACCTTTATAATAATGTAAAATATACTAAGTGACATATAAATCCAAACACCCAGTTTAAATGGTTTTATTTTAATAAAATTTTGTATAAGTACTTAATGAAGCATAATAAGTAAATGTTAAAAATTTCAAAATGATTGCACTGCTTTAAAGCCCTTTGACCTTTAATAATGTGTGGATGCACCCTGATGTGCTACGCATTCTCCAACGCGCCTAGGCATGGTTCTGATCAGGTGGTCAATGTCCTGTGGTATCTCATTCCAGGCAACCACCAACTCCTCTCGAAGTGCTTCTAGAGTCTGAGGAGGACGTTACCATTTGAGCAATCTCCTACCCATCATATCCCACACGTGCTCAATTGGGGATAAGTCGGAAGATCTTGGTGGCCATGGTAACAATGTGACATCATTATGTTGAAAGAAGTCTATTGTGACTCTTGCAACATGTGGTTGGGCATTAGCTTGTTGGAAAGTTGGATCTGCCAGGGTGTCAAGATAGGATAAAATATGGGGTTCTAGAACTTCGTGGATATAACGCTGCGCGTTCATGTTACCTCTGATGAAGATTAAAGGTAACCTGGAACCATAAGCTATAGCACCCCAAACCATAACTCCAACAGTGTGATGAACATGTCTTTCAACAAAAAACTGTGGATTCCTCCTTTCACCACGTCGCCTTCTAACCCTGGCACGACCATCGTGCATGCCTAAACAAAATCGAGACTCGTCACTAAAGACAATACTGTTCCATTCCTGATCCCGGAGTGACCGTTGTCTGCACCACTCAAGGCGATTACGTCGGTGTTCTCGAGTTAAAGGGAGGACCCAGTGTGGCCGGTATGAAAACAAGCAAAACTTCTCATTCGTCGGTAAACACTTCGCATGCCAATAGGTCTTCCGTGTTCTGCAAACCATTCATTTGCAATGGACCTGGTAGTGGAGAAACGGTCCCTTAAGGCCAATAATCTTAGGCGGCGATCTTCACGGTCTGTTGTTCTACGGCGGCGTCCAGTGCCCCTTGCTCTTTGCGTACGGCCTTCTCGAAGCCATGTCTGACAACACCTAACCACAGTTTCTACACTTCTTTGCACTCTAACTGCAATTGCCCGAAAAGAAAATCCAGCTTCCCGAAGTCCCACTATACGGTCCCTATCAAACTCACTAAGTTGACGAAATCGTACAGGTCTCCGTACTCTAGGCATCGTAACCGATCGTAAAGGGTGTCAAGAACCAAAATCCGCCAACGTTAATTCTTTACTGCGGCTGAAATATTCATTTTTAGAGCGTTAGTGAAATAAAAAAAAGCAGTATAAAAGCCGGAATGTCCAACTGATAAGGATGAAAATTTTTTCACTTGTTATTTACAGTAAGATAAATACATTCACCAACTTTTATTAAAATAAAACCATTTAAACTGGGTGTTCGGATTTATATGTCACTTAGTATATTATAGTGATTGCCGAATGAGAAGAATTCTTTGTATCAAATAAAAAAGGGACCTGTTTCGATTGACCTCCAGGCACTTATTTTTAAATTGTGACATAAATCTTGCAAGGCTTCTATTTTCGGTATCAAATAGACTTTCTTAACCTATTTGTTTCAAAATTTCGGCTTGCAGTTTATGAAACTTTTTATCTAGACCACGTTCGCATGGACAATATACCCTAGTTATTCGTAGTGTTGGTCCCTTGAGTTCACCCTTCATTCGGACATTCCAAGAGTTATGTGAGTTTACGTCCAGAATTCTTAGTACTCGAGGGATCAACCGCATCGTTTTTTGTTGACAAGAGGAAGGGGAAAAAGAACTTAAATAAATAATGTTATTATTACTAAATAGAATAGAATATTATTATTGATCTATAGAGTGTTTCTTAATGATATGCGAATATTTAAGGGTAGAAAATTAATGTAATAATTGAAGAATACAATTTAGCAATAAATATCTAGTTGCTCTGGAATATGTCACTGGCTTTTGACATCTGACAAGTCTCTGTTATTCAAATCTGTTCGCGGTTAGTTTTTACAATCTTGTTAATAATGATGAATTATTCAAATGCAGAAATGGCGGAAATGCATCATGTATATGGCCTTGCTGACGGTAATGGTGAGCAAGCCAGACTGATTTATCACCAGAGATATCCCGATCGTGCTTTGTCAGATAGCCGAACATTTTCTAATATTAATCGTCGCCTTGTTGAAACTGGTTCTGTCCGAAAAGGAAGATCTGAAGGTATACCTATAAGTGTGAGAACACCTGAAATTGATGAAGCAGTGCTGCACGAAGTCGAAGAACGTCCTGAAACGAGTATGAGAAAGATCGCTAGATACTTAAATATTTGCCATCAAATTGTTTGGAGAATTTTAGTGGATTTTTTTGTGATATCCTTACCATATTTTAAGAGTACCGGCATTACTTCCCATTGATCTTCCAAGGCGTGTGACCTTTTGTCAGTGGTATCTTCAAAAAATTACACAAAATTCGCAATTTATAATTCTTGACCCTAACTTGATTGACATTGATGGTTCATCGAATTGGTAGAGGTGGCGGCGTTGCAGTATATACAAAAAAATGTTTCCAGAGTAAAATTATCCATATTAATATAACTCCTGCCTTGGAACAGATCTGGATCTCACTAAAACTTAATCGGAAAACATTCACATTTAGTGTTGTCTATAGCCCCCCTTCTGCTAATGTTGTGGACATGCTTCGCGAATTGGAGTCAGCTGTGGATCTTTTTCTACCAGATAGTGATTTGTTCGCTATAACTGGTGATCTAAATATAAATATTTTAAATCTAGATCGTAAAACCAAGCTGTTGTATGATTTCCTTGAGGCATATAATTTGTCACAGCTTATTGAATCTCCTACTAGAATAACCAAATCGACGAGTACATTGACAGATTTGCTCATAGTAGGTGATCCGGATGACTTCATTTCTGTCGATACACTTGATGTTGGTATGTCGGACCATTGTGTTTTGACTTTTAAAATTAATTTCTCTAAGGCGAGTAGATATGAGAAGTTTTTAAGATACCGCGATTATTCAAAGTTTGATGCAGATTTATTTTATAACGATCTACATTCTGTTAATTGGAGCTTCATCTACACACTACCAGATGTAGACTCTATGGTGGATCATCTTGAAGTAAATCTTAAAACTCTCTTTAATCGCCATGCACCTTATCGTCAAGTGAGGGTTAGTAAGCCGCCTGCTCCTTGGCGTACATATAATTTAAAAATAATGATGTCAGAGATAAAGCTTTTAAAAAATATAAATGTATAAGTACAGCGGCTTACAACTATTATAAGGAGTTAAGGAATTATGTTACTGGTGCGATCAGAAGAGAGAAAGCTGCGTATTTGAGTTATACCCTCACCAAAAGAAATAAAAAATCAACATGGAACTCACTTAGATCTTTGGAGATTCTGCGCGAAAAAAAGTTATCTGAACTACCACCCAAGTTAAAGAATAGCAACACTGTGAACGCATATTTTAATAGCGCCCCAAATCTGGCTAAAAGTCAACTTCAAATTGATATGCCTAGAAAATACGATACCCACGTAATGCAAGCTCATGAAGATTCTTTTAGATTCACAACAGTTAGCTCCCACGTTGTGTTCAAATTTCTTAATAAAATTACAAGCAATGCTGTAGGCTCGGATAATATTTCGTTACTTATGTTACTATTAGTTTCCTCTGATTTGATAGAGTATATCACGTTTATTTTAAATTTCTCAATAACATCTGGAACATTTCCTCTTGCATGGAAGCATGCTTTGGTGAGGCCAATACCTAAATGTAACTCACCTGATGAGCTCTCTGACCTAAGACCGATTAGTATTCTGCCTACCCTATCAAAACTCCCAGAACTCATCATGAAAGATCAAATGCTTACCTATGCTATTCAAAATAATATTATTACTAGCTTCCAGTCAGGTTTTCGTCCTCATCATAGCACCTCCACGGCTTTAATGAAGATTACGGATGATCTTATTAGAGCAACTGATCAAGGTAATTGCACTTGTCTTGTGTTACTCGACTTCAGCAAAGCTTTCGACATCTTAGGCCACGACACGCTTCTCACAAAATTGATATACTTCGGTTTTTCTTATAACTCGGTTCTACTTCTTGAGAGCTACTGAAAAAATCGCCCTCAGAGTATAGTTATAGATGATAATTATTCTTCCTCGTTGAATAAGGTTTTTGGTGTTCCACAAGGTTCGCAATTGGGTCCACTCCTTTTCAGCTTATACACAAGTGACTTTCATGATTTTGTTAATTTTTCTCAGTTACATCATTATCCCGACGATACCCAGATATACAGGGTGACTTCGAAGTTGAGTCATTTATTTTAACAGTGAGTAGATCTGATCAAAAGAAATGTTTTTTTCCTTTACCATTTTCCTGGTAAAATTAAAGTAACAAAGTTATAGCCCTTTGGAAGTTAGAGTACCGCCCTGTCTCAATAACAATATTATGTGGTCGTGTTTGGCGACAATGGATATAATCCGCCGTATCGGTTCATCGCATCGGAAACAAAAAAGCGAAAGAATTTGGAACGATGTTTTTACAGGTATCTCATTCATTTGTATACAGTTAGTGTCAGTGAATGTGTTGCGTGGCTCAAACGAAATAAAAAATGGCACATGTTTATGCGGATCGGTTTCCCAATCGAGTGCAACCAACCCCTCGTGCCTTTGTTAATGTAGTACAACGGGCTTGTGAATCAGGTGACTTAAGACCTCACAGGGGACCTCACGATCAAATACAGGTCCGCACTGAAATACTTTTGGTTTATCTTCCTTCTACAATCATTATCTGAAAATTAATGACTCAACTTCAAAGTCACCCTGTATATATATATATATATATATATATATATATATATATCGTTCTCCGCATCCAAAGCTGTTACTGCACAGATTGAACTGAATAAAATTTTAAAATATCTATATAACATATCTATAGCACATAATTTACAGCTAAATCCGAAGAAATCACAAGTCATGATTTTTGGCAATAAAAATAAAAGACCTAATCTGCACGGCACATTTTCAGTTACTATAAATGATGTATCTTTGCCAATAATCAGTGAAAACAAAAATCTTGCCATATGGCTGGACTCTGATCTAAGATATACAAAACATGTTAGTTACTTGTGCCAAGTCTCCTATAACGTGTTAAGACAACTTTATCCCAGCAGGAGTATATTATCAAAATTCATGAAGGTCAAACTATGTGAAGCTTTGATTTTGTCTAAACTGGCTTACTGTGACTGCATATATGGACCTGCCCTTTTGCAAACAGATATTCTACGCATTCGGCGAATTTAAAATTCTTGCATCAGGTTTGCATATGGTATCCGAAAGTATGACCACATCAGTAAGAGCCTTATGGATTCTGGTTGGCTTACCATGATTAACATAAGAAAACTTCATTTTCTCACATCAGTACACAAGATCGTTACTAGTGGAACACCTACTTATCTATACAATAAACTTACCAGACTGCCTGATAATAAAGTAACCCGCAATAAACATCTTTTGGTTATTCCTAAACATTCAACAGCTCTGTTTAAGCGCAGCTTGGCAGTAGATCTCAAGAATCTGAGCCTCCGCAATTTTAAAAAAAGATTGAAAGCTGATCTCCTGCACGACCAAGGGCCTAAAGTATAAGCAAACCACGCTACGTTTTAAAAGATAATGTCCCAGTATGTTTCTTTTTAAGTCGCCTTGTTCTTTTTTGCATGAATTGTGCTCTCATAAAAACTGCATTGGTCATAAAAACTGCATTGGCCATGCTCTCGTATGTTCTGTTTTGTATTGCATATTATCTTTTTTATATATATATATATATATACATATATATTTTGTATGAGTGTTATTTTTTTGTGGGCTTAGTTGAAAAGCAGCTTAGGCTGAACTACGCCTTTCATCATTTTATCTTTATTTTTTTTTATCCTCAAGTTATTTATAATGATGAATAAAGACCATTTATTATTATTATTATTATTATTACTTAAATTCATGCGCCCTCCTTCCTGGTTTTTGAGTTTTCGTGGATTTCTAAGCTCGATGGCATAAATAGGATGCCATGTTGGACTACTTGAAATAATTAGATGTTATGAAATATAAAAAGAAAAAATTGATTTTGTTCACTCATCATCACGTTCATATCCTATGGTGTACATGACATGTCAATGCCATGTCTGCCGGTCACGTGGTCACCACACCTCATACACCGTCGTAGAATTGATTAACTGACTAATTGCCGCGTCCGGATGCACCCGATGCGACCGCAGGAGTGACAGTCAATCTGTCATAATTAGAGACAATACGCCTAGTGATTAAATTTATTATGCATGAGTGACATGTATTGGTCGTCGTATTGGCGAGGCGCTATGTATGTGCATGTCGATCTTAGATGTGCGATTCTCCTGTCTGTTCGGTGGTTGGTTGCGTCTATTATGCTGTTGCGAATAATTATATTAGGGACGGCAATTGCGCAAAGTGAATGTCTACTGGACACGCCAAATACAAATCGTTATGAACTGATAAAACTTCAGACGAAAACGTAGACCTGGTTCGAGGGGTGGCAGTCCGAATAATTTTGTACAATTTAGTTTGGGTCTGACCGAAGCTGCAGCTTCGGTTACCTCAATGTTTGCTTAACGTTTCAAGAAGTCACTACTCACGAGAAGTTTTGCAGGAAGAGTGATGCACATAATCATGCCTTCAAATTCAAATTATCCTTTAGGCAATGGAATACATGCAAAGGATTCGTCAACCTACGTGACTAAAAATAATAATAAAGGATATTCAAAATAAACAACATAAAAATTAAAAACAAACAAATTCTGAGACGGCATAATAACATTTCAATAAAGAAATTCTTTCAAATTATTTTTTGGCTGAATAATATTCCTTAATATCATTTGTTATAAATATTCTAGGTACCAGTATATCGGGCGATTTTATTGAAAACATCGTTTTTGGTAAAAGCCACATTTAGGCCACTGTGCGGTTATTTCAAATTTATCAAATAAAAACATACCTCTATTACACTGGACAACAAATTTTAGTTTTTTAATTGTATCTTGTGGGAAAAGTGCACTTCTTTGTTAATTTTGGGGCGCTGAATCCAAAAATGACAATGAAATAAAAAAATTAGTTGCGGTTTAGAAAAAAAACTTTTTATTTTTAAGGATATATTAAAAAAAGTAACAAGATTCATGTACTTATAAGAATCACTATATGCGCTGTCTTTTTGCTGTTCTTTTATGGATCGTTTCTGGAGCATCTCTACCAAGAGTCCAACAATAGTCTGCAAGCATGGAAGGATTCCACTTTCCCTGGTACCTTTTTTCCATTGTTGAAATATTCTGATGAAAACGTTCGCCGTGCTCATCACTTACGGCTCCGCAATTGTCAGGAAAAAAGTCCAGGTGTGAGTGTAGGAAATGTATCTTAAGAGACGTATTACAGCCCATCTTTTGATACGATGACAGCATATTTTTGACATGGGTTTTATAGTTGTCAGCTTTTCTATTTCCCAAGAAATTAGTGACCACCAGACGGAAATCATTCCAAGCAGTTTTTTCAATACCTGTTAAAGTGTTTTCAAACTGTGTATCTTTCAAAGTATTTCGAATCTGTGGCCCAACAAAAATACCTTCTTTAACCTTTGCCTCACTTAGTCTTGGAAATTTCTGACGCAGGTACTGAAAAGCTGACCCATCTCTATCTAATGCCTTGACAAAGTTTTTCATTAGGCCCAACTTGATATGCAGTGGTGGTAATAAATTTTTTTTCGAATCTACTAATGGCATATGCTGTACATTTTTTTGACCTGGCTCTAGGAAGTGACGAACAGGCCAGTTTTGTCTGGTGTAATGAAGTGCCTTTGCCCGACTGTTCCATTCACACAAAAAACAGCAAAACTTTGTGTAGCCTAGCTGCAGCCCAAGTAAAAGTGCAACAACTTTCAAATTGCCACAAATATGCCATTGGTGCTCATCGTATTTTATGCATGTCATATGATCCTTTCATGTGAACTGCACACCCTACAGGAAGAGATGGTAAAATATTTCCAATATGCAATAACACTGCCTTTAAACTCAATGTTGAACTGTCTATAAACAATCTCCATTCTTCTGGGCTATAGTTTCTTTTTAAAGCCGCAGTAAGCCGTTAATGTTACTGCAGAAAACCAAGTTATTCTCCATATTGAAAAATGGTTCTGTCTTTGTGGCGTTTACGAAAAACATATACCGAAACATCGTC